GTGTAAACACAAAATTGTGATTGCCGCTTTTCCCGCGTCGGCCGATCCTGCTTCAGCCGGCGACATCTTACCCTTAGCAGGCTTCTAACTGCCAGATTTATTGTTTGATCAACTAGTTAAGCAACTGTTAAGCGTTAGTTTAAGCGGTAGGTTTTGCCTTTTTGCATTTGCAGTTCTATCTCAGAAACTAATCGATATACGATTAAGTCATTTTAGAGGATCATGGTAGGCATGTATACGAATAAATCGATCGCATCTTCAACCCTTAAAAGCTTATGACGAAGAAGATATAGACGAAAATTTACTGAATTTCATAGGGGCAAAACCTACCGCTAAAACCTGCGAGACCTGTACATACAGGGTGTCCCATAAGTTCGTTCTCACATTATATTCACATGTAAAACGGAGTGCATTGCGTTTTGATATATTTTTGACCACTCAATGTGCTCCTCATTTCATGGGCAAACACATGGATACACGCTGCGCCATGCCAGCCGCCATGTTTTGCTGCGTGGCCGGCTTGAAGTTAGCCCACACTGACCTGGCATGCACCGTGAGCTCCTGGATCCTGGAACAGCGCCTCGCTTCGACAAGCCCCAATTTCGGCATTCCCAACATATTTTTATCAAATTTCGATCTGATGAGTTGCCTGGCATGTGATCTTGCGACAGACGCTTGCCGCAGTCTCCTGGAACCATTTATGAGCTTTTCTTGGCCTGTGCGCCGAAGCCCGCCTTATTTGAAGATGGGCCTACGACCTCTTGGATTCCATTTTCCCCTCCAAAATTGAGTTCATAATTGCGCTTTGAGTTAAGCTAGAAAGCAGAAACTTCTTCTATATCTTCGTGGGGAAGCAGTCTGCTCCCAAAAGCTGTTTCTGGGTTGCCACTTGCAACTTGGTCGACGCCAGAACGCCTATAACCCCACAACATAGTGGCCCTGGCCTTTTGCATAGGAAGATAACGGGACGAAACGAAGGCCTCCTCCTTCGCCCTTATGGGGCCGTTTTCGGGTTTGGACGGGTGTTTCATCTCGAACATGGACTAGTTAGTCCAGATAACCTGATTGATGTCCTCAGCCCTCTATTTTTTAAGCCTCAGGCATAACGTAACTCATGTTTGGCCATTTTAACCCTCGCCCGCACATGCCATTTTCCCATCCTAGAACGCACATGGGGGGGGGGGGGGTGGTTGCCACCCCCCCGCGCCATTTCGGTCCTGTTGGAGATAGAGCTTAGCGGTAAAGACCAAAAAGATTCTTTGGGAAGAGACGAATCCAATGATACCCAGTTTTACCTTCTCAGATCAGTCATTGACCTTCCAGGTCAGGTCAAACTAAAAAATGTTGCTGTTTTAGGTCACCGTTGGATATCAAGCGCGCTGCTTGTCATATAGCGACGACGATGCCGTTTTCTGGTGCCAAGCCAGCTAGAACCTCTTTGTCACACTACCCGACCAGGTTTTTGCTGCTGAGGTCATCTCAGGTCAAGTTAGGTCAAGGTCATTAATATGTGTTTGTATGTCTGTGTGTGTCTGTGTGTATACTGATGTGTGCACCGATTGTTTATGTGTCCATATTACATGAAATCATGATCTGAGAAGCTTTTACCAAAAATGTAGTCAAAAAATTTCAAAAAAAGTAAATTCAGCTTGCCTAAAACGCAATTATCTTAGATGACCTAGGTTGACCTTGACCCTGACCTTGACCTCTGTACATCGTCGAACAACATGTTTCATGATAGGTGGGAGGTAGGATTAGCATAAAAGGCTGAAATCAAGGTGTTAAAAGCTCACAAGGCCCATAGCCAACGCAAGATGTTGAGAATTGGCCATTTGGGTCATGACATGACCTGAAAAACAAGGTCACATCTCCGAAACCAAAAACCACAGGAACTTGAAATTTTCAGTGGACATCAAGAAAGGATAGAGGAGCAGCTATACGAAAAATCAGCCTTCTAGCTCTAAAAATGTTGAGTGCAGAGCAGAAAGACTACCTGGGGGGGGGGGGGGTGGCAACCACCCCCCCCCATGTGCGGGCGAGGGTTAAGACATTTTTGACTGTTTTAAGTCCTCCGGTAAGTAGAGCTTAAGTCACCTTGAGTTATGTTCCACGAAAGGATGCTCTTAGACAGCTGGTAATTCATCCTGAAGAGCCTGGTTTTCAGCTTCCTAAAGCTGTGACTTTTTTGGCGGCCGCTTTGGCGCCACACAATTTTGGCTACTTGGGTCACTCCTGAGGGTCGACTGGAAAGAGGATGAACTTGCAGTGACTGACTCCCGACAAATGATCGGCGTCACTTTCTGACTGTGCGCCCAGCTAGTGACAGACATTGGCTACAGACTGGCTGGCTACAGACACCTTCAATCGTCCGGAACCTACTTGCTGACTAAATACCAAGACGTACCCGTCTTGGAGACCTTCATGTCCCGGCGTGAGACGTCTCTACAGGAACTGGACTCTACAGCAAAAAATGTTTTGTCTGGAGAAAATGCTTATTGTGGAGCATATTGGCAGTTGCCTTGACAACCATATAAGATAATTTACGAATCAAAATCAGCGTGTTTTGAAACCAGAGAACGCCTAAAAGTAAAATTCAGGTGAGAACGAACTTATGGGACACCCTGTATGTTTGTCACATCGCTTCGTAGATGACAAGCTGCGAAGATCTCCTTTTCGACCACACCATTAGACAAGTTTTGAGATATGAGCCGTAATGCGAACATGCGATAAACAAGTCTGAATTGCCCGCACGTGTGGTGCCAAATTCCAGCGGGCTTGTCAACCCCCTCACAGTGAAAGCCGCGGGGCAGGGAGTCGGAGGGAGGGAGCTCACTGGCCGGCTGATGACTGTACCTACTGCGATTGTATCCAGTCTGTGGTGGACGCGCGTGTGGAACCGCTGCACTGTTACGAAATGAGCGGTACGGAGGCGGGTCTGCCGACTACAACTGGATTTGGGAACCGGGCCGGCACGTGGGCTAACGGGGCGATACACCAGGGTGACGTATATCTCACTCTGGGAGTGATGGAGCAAGTCGGTATAATAACCCTCAGTGACGTAATGGCTGGTCCCGGCGCGACACAGAAGCGTCAGAAGTAATCTGTCCCATCAGCAGTGGCATTGGCCTCTCCTGACACTAACTGCCGTGTCGGAGGGGCCGAAGGAAGGATGACGCCGCTGTCGCTACTCGCTAGGGCGGACGCTGACTGGGCGGCATGACGCGACACGCGGCTGCGCCTCCCCACATGTGGCTAATTGTGTGTTGTTAGCATGTTGCTCCGGTTTCTACCGGCTGTATATTATCCAACTCATTCGTCGAGCAAGTTGGTCAGCACTTTGGGGCGCCTCTTTTCGCTGTCTGCGCCAAATGCCGGGTCGGTGGCGGCGTGACACCTCTGCTTTGTCGAAGCTGGTCCATCTACGTTAGTTCACATACCAAGGAAACTAAGAGAGGAGTGCGATGAACTGATCTGGACATTATAACTTCCGCTGCTGTCTTTATCCCTATAAATGGTTTGTGGTCACTACTCCTGGTCAATCGAAAGACTCATCGACCTCTTCTTTTGATTGGTTAAACGCTCACCACGTGTAGGGTAAGGTGCCTAATTAGCGACTCCCTAAATTTGAACCGTCACTGCTCACGCTCTATGGGTGCTACTGTACCTATTACTGGCATTATTTTCGGATAGATCGTTCATTTTTCTATTAAAATATATTCATTTTCTCTCCCAATATCCACTAATTTATTTGTAGTGAGTATTTTAGCAAACCATTGCAAACAAAAAACGCTTATAGAGAACTCGTCCCGATTAACGACCGGGGAGGGTCGCTAAGATCTTTGGGTTTTCCCATAATAAAAATGGTACAAAAAGCGACGCCCGAAAAGTTGAAATATGATACGCAAAAGGCAACATATACCCAAAGCACTCAACCACTAGAACAGGAGCGTTTATCCAACACCTTTATGAAGATGAAAACTGATCACGTGATGCACCAAAGGCGAACAGAAGGCAAAAACCCAAATTTTGCGGGCTATCTCGTATGATATTCGAGGTCCGCGCTGGATTCGTCACCCCTGCAGTCGGTGACGACAGTTGGCATCACCTGCCACACATCGCAAGCTTCAGCAACATCTCATTTTCATTTAGGTATCTCTTTTCCTCTTTCTTTCCCTTATCAAGCTATTTGCGACGTCGGGCGCAAATAGGTAATGTGGGTTGCGAATTGCGATACATTTTTAACCACCATGCAGTGCACAGTTAAGCGATTCACTACGGGAAAACGGCAATCAATTGAAAAAGGATTGTCGATTCAGAATAAAACAGGTGCATCGTCTTCATGTGCATCGCTTTTCAGCAGATAGGGTCCAAATACATACGTTTTGGATAAGAAACTGGTCATTTTTATCTAAACTGTCCTAGAACGTCCTACCAGAAGCATCGACAATCGGAAAAGAGTTAAGTTTGATAACCAAAGTATGGCAGACCTTTTGGCATTGTCTTCACCCCATTTCTCTTGCCAGGTTTTCTTTAGAGAGGTAGGTCGCAAATAGGAAAGGGCGGCTAATTAGGCACCTTACCCTACGCGTGGCGTGCTACAGCTGTTGATCGTTGTCAAATACAGCTGTCCGTACACCTGATACCCTGCAGGTATTCTGGCTTTTTTATGTCCATTGGGCCGGACGACTTTCGCACCATATAAGGCAGCATAAATGTGTTTTTAATGCGATTTAAAACACGTTCCGCTTCTAAAAGTGACTCTCAAGTAGGCGTGTGGCTCTGAACGGGCACGTGGTGACACAGGTCAGTGCACCTATACAGTGTACATACACGCACAGGTCTGCTTCTGGGCGGAGCACGGTGCCCTCCTCAGCTGACGTCATTCAGGGCTCGATGAGCGGCCGGCGCGCCGCCGGCGCCGTAGTCGGCTCCCGCCTGTCGTGCCGGACAGTGGGAACAGCTGACCGCTCCAGCGGCCCCTCACACAGTCCGTCGCCGCCATGACTGTCGGCGTGCCGCCGGCGGCGTCGAAGCCGGCAGAGGATTCGGTCGGCGGCGGTCAGCGCGCGCTGACCTACCTGCTGACGCTGCTGAGCGCCGTCAGCTACCTGCTGTTTGGCTACGACACGGGCGTGGTCTCGGGCGCGCTGCTACTGGTCCGCGAAGACTTCCAGCTGAGTGACCTGTGGCACAGCTCGATCGTCTCGGTGGCGGTGGGGGCCGCCGGCCTGGCCGCGCTTGCCGCCGGACCGCTGGCCGACCGCGCCGGCCGTAAGCCGGTGATTCTCGGCGCGGCGCTGCTGTTCGTGGGCGGCGCGCTGGCCATGGCGCTGGCCGCCGGCCCGTGGTCGCTGCTGGCCGGCCGACTGCTGGTCGGCCTCGCCATCGGCCTGTCCAGCACCACGGTGCCCATCTACATCTCGGAGGCGGCTCCGGCGGCGGCGCGCGGCACCCTGGTCACCGCCATGACCTGTGTGGGCACGCTGGGCACCGTGGTGGCCGGCGTGACGAGCGGCGCGCTGTCCGGCGTCCATGAGGGCTGGCGCTGGATGTTCGGCCTCAGCGCCGTGCCGGCCACCCTGCAGCTGATCGGCTTCGGTCTGATGCCGGAGTCGCCGCGCTCGCTGGTGGCTCGCGGGCACGACGAAGCCGCCAGAGATGTGTTGCGGCGCATCCGCGGCCCCGGCGCGCATGTGGACACCGAGCTGGCCGCCATTCAGAGCGACTTTGCGGCACAAGAGGCGCTGAGGCAGACCGCTGAGGCGGCCGGTGACGGCGGAGGCTGTGGCGGCACGGTGCTCTCCCGCGCTGTCCGCGACCCGATCGTGCGGCGGGCGCTGGTCACCGGCTGCTGCCTGCAGCTGTTCCAGCAGCTCTCCGGGGTCAACACGGTCATCTACTACAGCGCCAGCATCATCACGATGGCGGGCGTGCGCGACCCGTCCACGGCCATCTGGCTGTCCTCAGTGGTGAACGTGCTGAGCCTGCTCTCCAAGCTGGCCGGCCTGGCCGTGGTGGAGCGCGCCGGCCGCCGCCGCATCCTGCTGAGCAGCACTGCCGGCTCGGCGGCCGCGCTGGTCCTGCTCGGCGTCGGCTTCCAGCTGAGTGCGGCCCGCTCGGCGCCCGTCAGCCTGGCGCCGCTGGCCGCCGCCTGCCGCGCCGCCACCTGCGACGCCTGCCAGCAGCTCGACTCGTGCGGGTTCTGCTTCCAGGACCTGCCGGGCGGGCCGGCCAACGGCTCCTGCGTGCCGCTCACCGCCGCCAACAGCTCGGCGGCGCTGGGCCGGTGCGCCGAGCCGGCCGCGCTGGGGCTGGACGGCCTCACCTGGGCGCCCGACTGGTGTCCCACCGACTACGCCTGGCTGCCCATCACGGGTATGTTCCTGTACATCACCATGTTCTCTCCGGGCCTGGGCGCCATGCCGTGGACCATCACGGCCGAGATATTCCCGCTGTGGGCGCGGAGCCGCTGTAACGCCGTCACCACGGCGGTCAACTGGTGCTCGAACCTGGTGGTGTCGCAGACGTTCCTGGTGCTGATCGCGGCCGTCACGCGCCAGGGCGCCTTCTTTCTGTTCTCGGGTCTGACGGTGATGGGCTGGGCCGTGTTCTACGTCACCGTGCCGGAGACGAAGGGCGTGCCGCTGGAGCGGATCGGGACCCTGTTCACGGAGCCCGTGGGACTGCATGCGCCGCGGCCCAGTAACAAGGTGGGCCCGGAGCCGGACCCGACGGGGCCGCGGCCGGCGGCCTGCCCTCAGCTGGAGCCGCCAGCAGGCACACCGTGACGAGACCTGCCGCGAGGTGGCCGCTCTTCGTCTCAGTAAGGCGAACTACCCCAGGAGTAGCGATATTGACGTGAAAATGAGAGCCGAACATTGAGGACACGTGGCCTTCAATATCGCTATTGGTTTGTTCAAAAGACCTATCTCAAGCTGGTTATCAACGTCCCTACAATCAGCGCTCGTTATATAATGCACTCTAAAATAACGGTGGCCTAGTTTCAGTGTAGGAGACCTTGCAGATAGGACAGCCACCGTTCTAAAAATGCGCCCTTGACAACGATCAAATGATAGCAGGCAATGTCTTAACCGTTATATGCATTCTTCTGTCATAGTCCTGAATATGTTGACAAGACAAAGTTGAATATTTTGCGACACTGTCGCGCTATATCAGGTCGTGTTGTGAACAGACACATGCAGGTACCGTTAGGTGCACTTATGTAGGGAAGCATAATTGCTATAAGAATGTTAACGGTTAGCGGTCAACGAGAGGTGGCTGGGGCCTGGGGGTGTATACGACGATTGTAGGGACCTTCGACTTGAGGATTGTGATCTTGTTATATGTGTCCTTAGTACGGGTACTAAGAACTCTTTAAGTTTTCATTTGAAACATGATTAGTATTTAGGTGTGAAATTGTGTAGCAACATTGTCGAGTCTGGCGCGTCGAAGAGCATCGTACGATATTGTTTATTACCTGTCCGCAAGCAGTTGTCGCATAACTCGACCATGAGCGGTTTTTTCGCGTGTGCCATTTGCCGTAAAAAAATATTCACGTACGGCCCTCCAGGTATTTAGTGGTTGGTTGCCAACAACACAATAATCGATCTGCATTGATGAATATGTCTAATGGCTGTTGAAAACCACTGCCGAAATGTGTGCACGAACCCTCTTCTCATTTCTATTTAGTTATTTTACAGGAGTGTCTTTGTCATTTAAGTTATTACACCAAAAGCACATAGGCTAACCAACCACTTTTTTGCTGGAGGGCCGTACCTATGTGTTTACCATACGGTATTATTTGTGCTATTTTGGTGCGTATTTATCCTTGAGAAATGATTTATGGGAATAAAACAAACACTGAACATCTTCCCGCATATGAAACGATTGGTAATTGCTTGTCTTTTGCCTCGCGGTCTCCAGCTCGCAGGCTGCCCGCCTGCCCGTATTCCGGGTATTCCGTGGCGGTCGTGACTGAACATTCGGCTTTGTGTAGGGGGATCTTCTGCACGCCTCGTTACATGGAAGTTTCATTGGAATGGGCTATTTGCTCATTGTTGGATTAGAAGGTCCAAGAAATTTCTCAGCGATACCGATCTTTTCCGGATTCATCAGAGACTGGTTCGGAGCATTGTATGGGTATCCACTTTGTAGTACTTCGGCCAACCTTAACTGAATATTCGGGACACCTCGGTTCCACTTGAAACCAGTAGCGGCGGAAAACCTTCAATTAAGGGGGAGGGGGGCACTGCCGACTTTTGGTCCCATTCTTTCCATGCAACGCCCATAGGGCTAATGTTAAAATGCCAAAATCAAAGGGGGGCATGGTGCCCTGGTGCCTCCTCACCCCCGCCCCCGTTCCGCCGCCTGTGCTTGAAACCTGCAAAATTCACATATCAGAGCGCTCTGATGTGGAGAATGCGGGTCTGAAACCGTCCGGTGGTACGGATACCGCTCATTTAGCCCGCATTGGTTCGATTAGAAAACTCGGGTTGCCAAGATGATAGGAAAACCAAGGTTTAGCTTGGCCCGACGCGGTCATGGTGACTTGACTAATGACCGCCCTGCTCCACTGAAGTACTGTTGCGGCGCCACTGACATGGAATTGGACAATGGACATCCGATTTGTCCTTGGTGCTCCGAAGCTTTCACCTAATCAAGGATGTTGCCATGTCCTCATTTTCCTAACACATCTACACTTCCCTAAAATTGGCCATGCAAGACAGCGTTGAACAGCAAAAACGCGTTTACTGAGAACTTGTCACCGGACATAATTACACATACAGCGGCGTAACTGCTCCATGGTTGATGCAGGCACATGACGTGCTGCTTTTTATGTACTATAGGTGAGCGTTTGCGGCTCGCTTAGCACAGTTCCCTTCCGTGCAGTGCACTGTCCCTCTTGTGCTCCGCTCAGTTTAAATACTGACCCGTGTTCTCCCCCAGTGTAAGTACTGACCCCGTGTGCTGCCCCAGTGTAAGTACTGACGGCCGTCTCCCTGCAGTGTGCTGCCCCGCGCCGAGTCAGTCGGCTGGCCGGCCGTGTACGCGTTCTGTGTGGACCGTCTGCGCGCGGTGCGCCAGGACCTGACGGTGCAGCAGGCGGCCGGACCGCAGGCGCTGGCCGTGCTCCGGCGCTGCGCCGTCTTCCACCTGTACGCCGACTACAGGTGAGAGCCGCAGGAGGGAAACAGCTGGGGCAGTACTCAGTACAGCTGACCTGGACAGCTGGGTTGTGCAGTTGGCGGTCAAAGGCGCAGAGGGGTTTATATACTGTATACTGCAGGTCGGTCCACACAGAGGGGGTGGGGGGGGGGGGGCTACAGGTGCGAGCCGCAGCCCGCAAACGGGACGTGCTACACCGTACACGGGGTGGTCAGCCCACAGAGGGGGGGGGGGGGGGGGCGGGGCAGGACTTCAGAGTCAGAGATTATATCACTTGTTTCCCTTTTTCGTCGTGCGGTGGCGCTGAGCATGGGAAGGCTCGGATAGAACCTTTGCCATTTTCCAACAGATGGCGTGGTGATCACTTCTACAGGCTGGCCAGCTGCACGGTGGCTCGCATAACTACTACAGTGTTGAGAAATTGTCAGTGATGCAACACTGGGTGCTGCCTCCACTGTGATGGATATGATCATATACTAAGCAGGGGCATGTGCATTCTAAATAAATGTCTATAATTTCCGGAAAGGAACACATATGAACCGTCACATCCACAGAACTCCATCCCCTGTGTAACAGGTCCCGGGACTGTCCGTTGGCCGTGTTTGACCGGCACATCAACACGCGCCAGCTGCAGGAGTGCCTGCTGGGGGTGCTGCGACTACAGCAGGCGCAGCCCGACGTCCCCACAGAGCTGTGTGAACGGTTCGAGGCCGTCCATCTGCTGACCAGCCTGCCGCACGAGCGGCGGATGCACGAGCGCTGGCTGCGGCCCACAAACAGGTGAGCTGGCCGGGTCACGGTAAGGATGTGAACAGGGACGGGATGGTGTTCTTGCAGTGCGCCTGTGACTTGTATTGAGTTGGAAATCACGTCAGGGTGTTAATGTGAAGTGCGGTTTGTATATCTTTTAGCCGCCGTGTAATTCGGTTTCATTGTATTTTATTCCCTACGAATGCCCCTAAGAACCCATTGAACACACTGTTTGCTTGTTTGATAATGGCTGACTTCTTTCAGGGATCTGCGGCTGGCCCTGGATTTCCGGAATGCCTGGGAGCTGGGTAACTTCGTGCGAGCCTGTCGGCTGTCCGGCGAGATGTCGCCACTGCTGCAGCTGGCCGTGTACCGCCACCTCGCCGCCCTCAGACAGTGAGTTGTAAAGGCCGATCTCGCCCACAGAGGCCAGACGCCGTATAATGATAAGACGGCTGGGTAGTGACGCCAGCTGATGACGTCACGGCTGCCGATGGCTTTATTGGACCGCTGTCTTCATGGCCCGACAATATGGGGCGAATTTGACTGATTGCTGCTCTATGGTGTTTGACAAGAGGCTGGGGGTCTATGGTTCCTGCTATTCACTCAGTGTGGGGTTTCTGCTCACTCGCTAAATGTGGTCTAAGATCGTAATGCTCGAAGGATAGGAACTGATAACTTTAAGCTGACATAATTGTCACCACTTGCATATGCTGTAATAGTTAATGCACTGGACTCTGCGTTATGCTCATGTTTAAGTGAACTCAGATATTTCTCCTTTCACAGTCTACGCTTTACCTCATTATTTGAGAACATTTTTTCACGTTTACAGTGTCCCAGCGCCTCTCCTTTTCAGGCTGACATCGTCAGACCTACTGAAGGGTCACGTCATATCCCATGTAGGAGCTTCCGTCCCTTTGTCATGTTCGTTTTGCTAAAACGTATAACGAACGTGCTCCCCCGGATAACATGTGCGGCCACAGCTCTACACTATACACTTATACAGTATAGGTATACAACTCTCTCTGGACCACTACATAACTGTCACAATTTAGTGGTTCACTATATTATCCAGCTGGTATTCAAGCTGAAGCTGGGCTCTTAGCGCACTCAATCATCTGAACTAGTGTTGATTGATTTGATGGCTGTGCTTGTATCATTGTTTGTTCTCGGGCTATTGGCCCTATACCGCAAAGGGGCACCGCATTGAGCGGTGTATGACACGGTTGCATCAGCGTGCAGTCTTCTCGGAACCGTTTCGCAATGCGTCTTTGATAGTACGGCGTATTGGATTTCATTGTTCAGAGTGTCTCAAGTGCCATGGAAGCTCGCTCGTTATTGATTTCGCTTTCGCTAGCATGGTTTACCTGAAAAGTTACAATTGTTTGGTCGAAAACGATTGACCGAAATAGTCGCGTTGGAGAAATGTGTCGAAGAGCGGACGTTATTCCATGAAAGCATCCTCAATCTAAGCGCGTAATCGTCCGAGCTTAGCATTGACATTTGACTCGACCAAAGTGTTTTTAAGCCGTCTCACGCCGTAAAGATAATGTTTTTCTATGCCGCGGTTAGTAATAAATGGTAATAACTATTAGTTATCATGAGTCCTTTGTCAACCTTCATTTGCTTCGCCGCTACAGCGGGCGCATTGGCCAGTCTGAAGCTTTCAACATACCTTCTGCTATCAGTACTTCCCGACTCTTTCGTATCGCTCGATATGCAGCCTACAGGCCAATATTTGCTAACCGGCGAGGAATTCCAATCCCGACCGTCCACGAAGCTCCGACGCCGGACGCTGCTCGGTAGCGCATCACTGTGAGGTAGACTGTGCCGCACGACTCGGCGGCCGTGCGGCACAGCATGCTCCGTCCACCGCCTGCATGTATTATGGAGTATGGACGCATGCAATGTCGGTGTCGCATCCCCGGCAACTTCAGCGAATACTGTAACTGTATATTCCACCACAACCATTGCAGGCTATTGTATCGATTCTATCGCTTGCTCGTGTTTTTTTTTTTTCTTCAAAGATGTTTCCATGTAAGGTTTATGCGGACAGGCCAGACTATGTAAATTGTGGATAGACCTACGGCAGACGTGGGGTGATGTGGTATTGATGCCTCCAGAGTCCGCTTCCCACCCCCATGGCTGCCCGTCCACGCTCGGGGGCATTCGTTGGCGCATGTCTGCCCAGTATCGAGTGGCCGATAGCCGCTATCAGGCCGAGTCGCCATCGGCCGCCGTGCAACCTGGGCGCCTGTCTGACGCCGCCCTGACGCCGTACTGACGCCGTACTGACGTCGCCTTGACGCCGTACTGACGCCGTACTGACGCCGCCTCGGCGCCGTATACTGACATCCATCCGGCTCTGCCGGAGTTACGTCTCCCCGACGCGCGGTTCTCTTGGTGCTCGTCGCTTTGATATAAACTTTCATTTAGGTGGTAGACGCCGATGTGATTCTTTTTTACACTCATTCCCCTCACAAATTATTCCTGATTTCGCTGTCATTGTTATCGTTGAAGTTCGATAATGTAGGCGGCGTTCCGCTTGGGTGCTTTTGTGCAAAATCTATTTGTATGTGATTGGGTTGCTGTAACACTTGGTTGTCTGCCACCGGTCATCCGAGGCCTCACAGGCTGTGTGCCAATGTCTATTGATGTCGATATCGTAAAACGCTTGACCCCTGACCGCTGACTTGTACCGGCGCGGCGGCGTGCCCCGGACGGGGCGCAAGGAGTGTTTCCCCTCCACACATCAGCTATCGGCTGGTCGTCATTTTCAAACCGTTGGTCAGGGACTACCGGACCAGTGGGACGTCTTCAAACGTTCAGCTAGGCAGATTAGATCGCTTAGCAGTGTCGAGTCGAGCATTCACATTATTATGTCGAACTGAGTGAGTCGGGGAGACGTACTGAGCAGTTTGCTATATTTTACCAAACACCAAGCGTGGTGCTCGTTGTTACTTGTTAGCCTAAAATCTAAATTGTTTGTTTCCTGGATTTTATGTCGTTTTTACCTGTTGAACCCTATAATGTATGTATGCCTCTATTAACCTAATGACTTAACGTCTACTGTTAAGTTTTATGCAAAGCTTGTAAGTGCACTGGCGGATCCAGACCTGCGTTTTTTTTTTGGGGGGGGGGCAACTCATGCCAGGAGCCAAACCTAGGGTACCCCCAAATCCTGTTTTCTCATCGGATTTAGGCCACTTATTTTTCGTCACAGCCCTAAAACGATTTTTTTTAAACTAAAAATAAAAGATATAGAAATGGTAGCCCACCAGATCCGTGCCTTTATATTTCTTTCAAACACTTCAAATTGCTTTTGTTGACCAGTTAGCCCGCTCCGGGTCGGTGCTTGGCGCAGCCTTCGCCGGCCGGGAGGTGTCGGTTGGACCCCCTGCCGTTCGGCCCCTGATCAAGCTAGAGCTTCGCGGAAAAAAACAAGCGTGTCGCCCGTAAGTGACTAGAGGAAGCTGATGGTACCCGATCTTAAGGTTCTTGGTCATTGGTTGACCTTCCAGTCCAGGTCATAGACCCAAAAGACGGGGAAATCTGGACCTGTAAGAACCCCCTAAAGTACATAAGGCTGTAATGTGTTTTTTCGGTGTGCTGATCACGAATTTCATGTTAGTTTGGATCATTGATGATGTCTTCATGCATTTAGGCCAGATGGCTAATTCAATTATTTTCAGTTACATAATATTTCATCACTCATTAATTATCTTTTCAACAGTCATTGATCATTTCATACAAAATCACCAGCACTGGCGGATCCAGAAAGGCAGTCTTGGACGCAGCGGGGGGGGGGGGCATATCCCCCAAAAGTGTCTCCAAATTCCAAAAACTCATCGGATTCCTATGGCTTACTAACTGCCGTGCAGTTTAAAACAGACTTTTCCCAATTAAAGTTGTTTGGTTTTCGCTTTGTTCTAAAAAAAAACGCTTTGTCAACTCCAAAAACTTCTCTCCCATAGCAATAGGAATACACAGAGCCATCAGCCACGTCAGCTTTTTCTACAAGCTTACATAGATGTACTAGTTATTTAGATGTAGCAGTGCCATTCCAGAGCAGACATCACGCCGCGAATACCCATCCCCGCCAGGCGCCACATCTCAATCTCTGTGCCGTTGTGGTTGGTTGGTTGTGGGTTAAGCACGATATCCCCTTGGGAACAGACGCTAATACGAATATTCACCCAGTTTTCTGGCGTTAATTTGGTGTATGGGGCCACTCGACCTGCGTTAAGTCGAGTCGTGCCGACTTACGCAGAGTTTGACGGTGAGCTACCGGCGTACCCAAGGCCGTACCGGTGCGGTGCTGTTGACACCAACCAAGGCTTGATTTGACCCTCGCCCTGGCAGGGGGGGTCGATGCGACCCCCCCCCCCTAAGGTTTTTCGAAGATAGCGTAAAAACGCGCTAATTTGGCACAGCCTATGGGGCAACCTTTTTACATATGACCTGAAAATTTCAGGTCCGGGTGACCTTGGGTCAGGTCACCAGGTCAGAAAAACCGGTACAAGGTCATGGTCAAATTTCAATTTTCTTTTTGCACCTGTCCAACTCACAGTTTTGGACTGATGTCCTTCAAACTTTCAGGATGTGCTAAGTTCACCGAGTTGTATAACATATAGTTCGGGTTTTTTGAGGTCACTGACCTGAGGTCAGTTAGAGGTCATTACGTCGTAATGTTAAGCCTATGGGAAAATACTAAATTCGGAAAATACTGGAGATATCCGCTTCGTTCTATCACTTTTGTGCTTTGAAACCACAGTACGTATCAGCAGGTCACTTGGTGCTTCTTTGTTTGGTGTACTTATCCATGGGTCAGGTCAAATGAGGTCAACTGAGGTCAAATGACGTTTTTGCCAATAACTTGGCACATAATGACGCTAGAGCTTAAAAAATGGTATCATTGTGTTCCTGGTGATCAGCCGAATCGAATGATATGCGATATGATGCAATTTGATTAACTTGAACTTAATTTATTAATTTAAGTTTACTTAAAATTTAAGAAAAACTTTAAGTACACTTAAGCAAGCTAAAAAGTATATAATTCGACGCGCCTTGACGTGCTGAGTTCACTGGTGCTTTTCTTTTTGCTCTATCTTAATTAGATCAAAAGTTATAAGTGAAAAACTTTTGACCTGTTTTTAGCGAAATTTTTACATTTATACCCTCCAAAACCCCCCTAAATATTGACCTAGAGCAACCAAATTTGCACAGGGGCGAGAACTCCAGGGGGCCCACCTACCTACCAAATTTGGTGTTTCTAGGTGCCATAGAAGCCAATCGCGAGGGGGGGGGTCGCATCGACCCCCCCCCCCTGCCAGGCCGTGTTATGAAAAATGCCCTGCCAGGGCGAGGGATAAATCTCGGACGCTGAAAGTCAGTTGGGCACCACTGTTCCATCCTTGAATAGCTGCCAAATCGCTACCAGTACCAACTTAACCCGCGCACCGACGGGGGTCTGCGCCAACTTCGCACCGACGGGGGGGGGCGGATGACCGCCCCCCCCCCTGAGATCTCGAGAACGAAGCAAGATAGCGACAAGCGGTAAACGGCATCGGATACGCACGGCCAAGATCTACAATTTTTACTAAGGTCATTTTCAGGTCAGGTCAAAGATGACGTCACAGGGGTCGAAAAAGTCAAAATGGCGGCGCTAGATATGGAGAGAGTTTTTCTCGAATAACTTTCGAATTAGTCAAGATAGGAACAAACTAAGAGCATCATCGTGATCCTCTCGTCAATCCGCATCGAATGATATATATGTTGACCTCGAAAGGTCAAGGTCAAAGGTTGACCTTAGGTCACGTGACCTCGAGGTCATCATGTACAGGGTGTCCGGAAAGTCCTGGCGCTTCTTTTGGACGCCGTGTAACGCGCGCTGTGATTATTGGACATTCAGCCAATCATCACAGACATGACCCCTCGTTGATTGCTCAGCCAGAGGT